AGTCTATGCAAACGGCGAAGGGTTCTCTTTAAATAACTGGGACTGGCAAACTTCAGCGAAGCCAAATTAGCGGCTGGAAAATACTGTTAGCTCCATAGAATTCACTAACTGGACCGATAATAGCACGGCAATCACACGACAGAAAGCCAGTAACTTATCGTGTGTTAACGTGTTCATTTACTGGATTCATCAAAACAGCACTCTAAACCATCGCGGAAATCCCATCCTATCTTGCTTCTGCCATGTCGGCAGTGCACTCAGACGCGACATTGCTACGCGCGGTTGTTTTTTGATACGGCTCGGCACTGGCACCATCCCGGAGGACCGCACCGCGACGGACGGACCGCCAGCCAGCACTGCTGGGCGAACGGTTACACTGACGGGCCGCCGCCCAGCGCAACACGAACGAGACCGGCAGCCGTAGGAGGCGGCCTCGCCGCAGGCCCACCACCCAGTCTGCAGACGGCCGGACCGAGCCGCGCTCGCGCCAGCCGGCCGGAGCCCGGCGTACTCACCTGGAGACACGCGCGCAGCCGAGGCTCCAGTCGCACTCACACCGGCGCGCACGTCCGCTGGCACCGGCGCGGCTCGGCGCCACGGCACGCCGCCACAGCACGGCACGGCACGTCACTGCCGCGGCGCGGCTCGCCGGGGCCGCCGCCGCTGCCCGCGCCCCGGCGCCGCCCGGGCCCGCCGTCGCCCGCGGCGTCCGCTCGCCACCGGCGCACCCACCTGGCCCGAGGCGGGCTCGACCAGCTATGGCCGCCCCGCAGACGTCACTGCGCGCCGGCCGGGAAAAGGGCCACGGCGCCGCATCGGCCGCGTCCGCCGGGTGGGCGCGACATCTGGCGGCCGCGAAGTGCACTGACAGTTCAGCCTGTTGGCACCAAGGCGTTTCGTACCTCCCATAAATATCCGGCCATTATCACGCAACTAGAAGTCAGCCTACGTGGATACCGCACGCGATCAGTATTTTCACGTGTGTACAGTTTAGGTCCCTGTTGTTCTGCGACGTTTATCATTCAACCCGGTTTCTGAAAATAACTGTTAAGCTCAGGACCGTGAATAAAAGATGTTTGGGAAAAGTACTACCATCAACAGTTATCATTCTAGAATGGTCACAGAAACTCGTCTACCGTCCATCCTTTCACACAAACAAGCACAGAAGACTGCTGTCTATCAGAGCAAGAGATCAGCTGTGGCGTACCTGCCGAGGTCAGGCGGTGGCACCCTCGAGCGGGGACCGTGCGGGTCCTGTCGGATCCGAGGGACATTGGGGTCGTGGATCCGCCAGATCTGAGGTCGCGGCTCCGCCGGGTCCTGGCCAGGACTTATGGCGTTCAGGGACCCAAAGCACCGCTTAAGAAGCGAGCGACTACACTGGCCCATCACGCCAGCTATTCTGGGAACCTGACAACAGCTGAGGAACGGCCTCAGTGGACTACAGGCGCAGCAGATCGCAGGGGGCTGGTCAGAGAAACGCTTCTGGGGCGTTGTAACAAAAATTGAAATAAAATCGCACTAACTGCACACTTTTCCAGCGATTTGCAGTAATTTGCTGCATCAAGCTTCTAGGAAAAATATACATGCAACGAAATAGTTCTGAAACATTATTCTCATTGTTAGTTTTGTCTTGCTGGTTATCTTTGGTGGCGAATCATTTTCAATCGAAAGGAGGAAATGACGCGTGTAGCGACGGCAGGAAATGGACGTTCGTCTCACATTCACCCCATCAGGTCAGATCAACGGTACAACACAGCACTTCTCCAAGGAGACACATGGGGAACGACTTTGGACTGCCAGGGAAGGGGAATGGGGTGGGGTTACACAAAGCTGGGGACGGGAAGGGGCGGGGTGTGACAGACGAATGGGGCCGGCGTGGAGCAGACGCGGCTGAAGGACGGAGTGTGGCAGGACAAATGGGGCCGGAGTAAAGCAGACGCGGCTGAAGGACGGAGTGTAGCAGCTCAAAGCCGGAATGGAGCTGGCTCCGCGCTTCCGAGCGGCGGAGCTGGCCCCGCGCATCCGAGGGACGGAGCTGGCCCCGCGCATCTGAGGCAAGGGGCTGGCTCCGCGCATCCGAGGGACGGAGCTGGCCCCGCGCCTTCCAGGCAAGCGGCTGGCTCCGCGCTTCGAGGGACGGAGCCAGCTCCGCGAATCCGAGGGACGGAGCTGGCTCCGCGCCTCCGAGGGACGGAGCTGGCTCCGCGCATCCCAGGCAAGCGGCTGGCTCCGCGCATCCGAGGGACGGAGCTGGCTCCGCGCCTCCGAGGGACGGAGCTGGCTCCGCGCATCCCAGGCAAGCGGCTGGCTCCGCGCATCCGAGGGACGGAGCCGGCCCCACGCACCCGCGGGACGGAGCTGGCTCAGCGCATCCGAGGGGCAGAGCTGGCTCCGCGCACCTGGGGGGACCAAATGTCACCCATCGAACCCACCGAAACATGGGCAGAGAAAACGGGGGAACGGTCGGCCTGAGCCGGGAGCGGATCAGGGCGGGCGTGCCGCCGACGGCGCGGTGTTTGGAAGCTGTGGCTCGGTGAAAGCGTGCTGGCGGCAGCAGGAGTTTTCCAGGTGGCTGGGTGTTGGTCTGTGCAATTACGCCCCACATCCGACATGCGCTCACTTCGCACACATGACACCAGTCTCTATTTGCGGGTCACTGATAGGATATTTCCTAGTTTTTGCATTTGGGAAATATGCTGACAACTCCTGCTGCGCATGAGTTTTATGCGCACGACGGCCAGCGTCGCCGCGTAATCGGTTACCGTCCGCTTAGACCAGCCTCGAGCCCCAATCAGGCTTCCACCACTGCCGACAGCATGGGCATAAGGCATGCTGCTGTGTTGACCCAAAGCATGGCTCTGTTGGCTAGACCATCAGCTCTGTTGACTGGAGCATCAGCTCTGTTGGCTAGAGCATCAGCTCTGTTGACTGGAGCATCAGCTCTGCTGGCCAGAGCATCAGCTCTGTTGGCCCAAGCATCAGATCTGTTGGCCTGCCAGAGCACCAGCTCTGTTAGCTGGAGCATGAGCTCTGTTGGCCAGAGCATCAGCTCTGTTGGCCAGAGCATCAGCTCTGTTGGCCCGAGCATCAGATCTGTTGGCCTGCCAGAGCATCAGCTCTGTTGACTGGATCATCACCTCTGTTGGCCAGAGCATAATGGGAGTGTGCCAAGAACATATGCTGTGCTACCATATCTCAGATTGTCATGAATCATGCAAATTTTCAACTTATAGATGGTGGGGTTGCATCCTCTTTGAACCTATGTATGCAATGTGGCAAAAGGATTGGATCCTTTTGGAAAAGGATCCTGTTACTTTCTATGTAATAATAAATGTAATGCCAGATTTTGCTTAACATTTTGGCATGATGGCTGCTTTCCTCCTCCTAATCACTGTTCCTGGATGTTCAGATGGCAGAAGTGATTCAGACCAGCAATACTGGTTTCAGCTATGAACATGAAGCTTAAGGGGTATACCACTAGGAGCCACCAAGTGGATAAGTTGCATCTGGCATGTGGTCCACAAAAGGGATGAAAATGTTAAGGTGGCTGGAAGCATGTAAGTCCATGGAATGGTTTATGCATGTAGTACTAGGGGTAGAGCTAAATAAAAGCTGATACAAATCTATATATAGAATATAAGGAAACTAGTATGAGCAAGGTGAGTGGTAGGCAAAATACCTTTAATTACTAATACTATATCCAGTCTTTTTCCATTTGAAACCATCATTTAAAATTCAGACTACTGAAACAGACTACAACTTTGAATTGCATGATTACATCATATTTTAACCCATATTACTACCCAAAGAACACACTTTTGCATATCAATGACAGCTTCTCATGCTCTCAACATTATAGGCACAGTATACTTATAAGACACATGGGGATTGGTGGAAATTTTCAATACGGAAGGCTTGAGGGTTCTGGCAGTTGAACCTGCAATATGTACAGCCTGCGCCATCTATTTAGTAAAGTGAAACATCAGATTTTGACACATGTGAATGATATTGACAATAAGATCCCAAAATAAAATCTAGAACTTTGTAATATGGTGAGATGGTGTTCAATCAGAACAGCAGACAAGATATCAAAGAGTAAAGTCCACTATGATAGCCTAGTTGGCTACAGCACCTGCATTCTGACAAATACATTTACCTGTGGCAGGATGGGTTCACAGGTGCTCTATTTGTTCTTGACAGAGATGGTCAATGATGCCAAAGGTCAGGTGAGATCAGAGGGCAGGCCAGACTGTGTCAATCATTGTATTACACTTAACTTCATCACCAAATTCTACTATTGATCAGGAATTGCACAATGCTGGGGTCAAACCAGCACTGCTTACAGCACACTCTGATATCAAAAATACATCCATGTGAGAGGTTTGGACTATCTTTCATCTCTAAGAGATCTTGGATTTAAGGATAACTAAGCATTATGGAGGGTTAAATAACAACCAGAACTGTTTGTTGCTGACATGCTGTGTAACACTGACTAAGGGCATCTGCAAAACATTGGCCTTATTTATACCAAACTTACCTTACCATGCCTGACCTTTTGGTGATGAGGAATTCAAAAGGCTATTTGGCCTGTCAATATCAGTCTCTTTTAGCTCCCATTCAGGGAAGCAGTCTTAAATTATGGATGTGATTTATATGGAATGTCATCCATTATAATCACCCAGTGTAAGCCTGTCCATAGCATTGCCATGTCTGAGACTGGGGGCAGCAAGTTAGAATTGTTAGGCATTATTTTAAAACTGGAATCTTGGCCGACAACCTGACCTGAAAATTAATTTTGAACAGGAAAACACAAAAACATCCAATGGGTAACATAGAAAGACTACATCTCATTTGGAAGAACTGCGTCGGGGGGACATGCTCTGTGAACCCTAGTGGTTACACCTGGGCATCTATCCATCTACCGGCCACTGGGGGTGGAATATACCTATATTGTCTGGCAAAGGGTAAGATTGCGGCGTAAGTTGCGACGAACTTACCTCAGCAGCAATGACCTGTCATCTTCCTCCAGTCGACCGGTAGACGTTTCCAATGCAAATGCCGCAACACTTATCTCTTCCACTGCCCCACAATTGCTTCTACGAAATCCGCCTTCCCAGTACACTTCATCACACTCCCAACACAAACACCGCCCGCCCGCCGCCAACCAAGGTAAGTTCTCAACGGCCCAGAACAAACAACGGCAAACAGCTGACCAGATTGTCAAGTTCGTTTACCAAAACTCAAGGGGTATATAGATGGTCCAGTCATAAAGCTAAAATGCACTGTTCCAGCTTCCTTGATCGGAACTATGTGAAATGAAATGTCTGGTAAGGTGCATCTGAGCGGGTAGTTTTTGAAGGGACTAATAGTCTTGTCACTAGACGTTGGATATCACTTAAAAGTTTGAACTTGTGAGGTCAAGACTTTTTGATGGACAATGGTCCATACGCTAAAGATTTTGATGCTTGAAAACACGAAATCGCTTGACAACTACTGAGTTGTAGTGTCCTCGCCCCGCTATTGTAGTGCCCTCGCCTCGCTTCCGTTGGTGCGACCGCCGCTGCGACGGCAGCGCCACCAGTGGAAGCCTCGTGGCGCTGCCGTCGCAGCGGCGGTCGCACCAACGGGAGCGAGGCGAGGGCGCTGCGGAGTGGTGTCAGGGGTGCAGTTTTCTGTTCAGCAAGAGCCTCTCCCCCTTCCCGGAACCTGTGTTTTAGCATATTTAAGGTTAGGTTGAGTCATTTTTCTTTCTCAGCTTTCTCCCCTGGACTCCTGTCCACTTAGTTTGCGGAACTACGCCCATGGATGATATCAGAGCTCGCTGTCATTTGACTTAACATTTGATTTGGACGTGGGAACCTGTGAGGTTGCAGGACTTTCCGACCTATTGAAGATTTTGTTTAAAAATCTGGCATTCCCGTCGCTGACCTTTAGAGTGATACAGAGGTCCTCGTTGTTTGACCTTAGATTTAACCCTGAGGGTGACGTGATATCGAAAAAAATGCGGACGCTGTCGTGTCGACACTGCCTACCTATCGTGTTTTTACTTAAATTGGGAGCTCGTCACGAAACGAATCGCGAAATCAATCATCTGAATGGCTTCAGATGCTTCTCTGGAGGAAATGCTCCACTACTGGTGTCACAATAAGTGGGAGAGGGTCGCTCTATACAACACCATTTCTCTTAATTAAGTGCTCTTCAATACGTCATTGCTCGATGACGTCATCGTACTTTGCACAATATTGGTGGAGAGCCAACAGGCGGTCCATATACATGGAAACCGCACCCGGGCGGGTTCCCAGCGCACACCCTGCAGAGGGGTCCACGCGCAGGCCACGCTCGCGGGGCGCCCTTCATGCGCAGGTAGTGCTATCACACCGTTATCCAGACCCCTCTATCCCATAGTCCTGGGGCGGTCATTACTGGTAGAAGACTACTCTAAATAACCAACCGAACGCGTCTCAAGATTGAAACTTGCACAGATTAATCAATATTGGTGGCGAACCAATTGACGTTAACTAATTCCTGGGAATCGTGCTTGCGGACGCCAGATGTGAACGCCTCGAAGTTGATGTTCTTATTTTTCACCTTGAACACCACATAGTATTTGAGGTCGCAAGATTTGACTGGCGTTGCTATGACGTTATGCATAACTGTATAGCCTCGAAATAGTCTGCACGGGGGACAAGCACAGAAACTAGAGGGTTTTAGGTCTTAAGAAGTGCAGGTCTGTGAACTATACCGAATAATCTTCAAAATGGGCATTTCGTTTAAAAGCGACACAAATGCGGAACACTCCCTTTGAACATCGCTCACATCATCACATATGCATGGCATCATTTCACGGTCCAGTTTCGATGTGCCAACATTGGTCAGCGCTCGTAATATGATGAGTAATCTCTGAATGAGATATTAAAAAGATACTAGCTGTAGAGCGGTCCGTGTAAGATCAGTACTCCGCTTTCAAGGACTATGGTCATGTATAACGTACAATAAAACGCACAGAATTCAGCACTCGCATGGAGACATGATGGCACAGACCGGTTTCGCACACACAGCCTATATCGTAATCACTAAAACATTAACGGTAGATTCATGCGGTTCAGCTCCATTAAAAGACATGAGTTGATCCTTCGCGCAATGAGAAATACGACACCAAGTGAAATGTGAATATAGCCCACAGTTCCCTTCAGACCACTGCAACTGTGCCCTCGGCAGTGCAGTCCAAACGCCAGCACACTCAGGTTTCGGAATGGCAGGAGCGGCGGGGCTTCTGCGGGAGCGTTAGTGCTCCAGAAAATGCAGAGTCAAGTCAGCCGGCTCCACCGCCATCGCTCCAACACTGCCACCGGCCAGCCCGCCGGCCAGCACGTACAGATTCTGCTGATGCTGCGGCGGCTCCGGCGGCGGCGGCGGCGGCGCGCGGACCAGCACGGCGTCCTGCTGCTGCGACATCGGCTGCAGCGGTCCCAACTGCGGCACGCCATGCTCGGGCGGCGGCAGCGGCGCGCCCACGAACACGCCCGCGTGCTGCGCGGCCGGCGGCGGCCGCGGCGCCTCCTCCACCGCCGCCAGCGTGTCGCGGCACGCGTGCGTCCGCATGTGCACCTTTCGGTGCGTCGTCTGCGAGAAGGCCCGGCCGCACACGTGGCACACGTATGGCCGCTCGCCGCTGTGCACGCGCACGTGGCGGCGCAGCTGCGTGACGGTGGTGAAGCGGCGGCTGCACGTGTCGCACGCGTGCGGCTTCTCGCCGCTGTGCGTGCGCGCGTGGATCTTGAGCGTGACGTTGCGCGCGAAGTTCTTGCCGCACACGTGGCACTGGAACGGCCGCTCACCCGAGTGGATCTTGGCGTGCTGCGCCAGCGCCGTGTTGTCGATAAATCGCATGGCGCACGTGCCGCACTGCGCCGGCCGCTCGCCAGTGTGGATCATGGCGTGTCTCTTCAGTTTGCCGCTCGTCTTGAACTCCTTGCCGCATATGTCGCACAGGTAGGAGCGGTTGGTCGCGTGCCGCACGCTGTGCTCGCGCAGCAGCGCCGCGTCGGCGAACGCGCGCGCGCACAGCGCGCAGCGGAACGGCAGCGCGCCGGTGCCGGCCGCCACGTTGGCGGAGCCGCTGTGCGCGCGGCTGTGGTACTCGAGGATCCTGCGCTGCGCAAACGCGCGGCTGCACACGGCGCACGTGAACGGCAGCAGCGCCGAGTGCACGCGGCTGTGCAGCACGAGCACGTCGAGTCGGCTGTACGTCTTGGGGCAGAGCTCACACGCGAACGCCTGGCCGCCGGCGTGCAGCCGCTGGTGGCGCCGCAGCGCGGTCAGGTGCGACAACCGGGCGCCGCACTGGTCGCACGTGAAGCGTCCCTCGGCGGGCGCGCGGCGCGCCACGTCGCCCTCGCGGTGCTCTCGAATGTGGTACTCGAGCAGGCAGCGCAGCTCGTACGCCTTGTGGCAGAGGCGACACTGGTGCGCGCGCTGCGTGGTGTGCGACCTCCCGTGCACCACCAGCGAGTCGAAGCGACTGTAGTGGCGCGAGCACAGGTCGCACTGGAACGTCTGCCGCTCCGTGTGCAGGCGCCGGTGCCGCTTGAGCGCCTGGCGGTGCGCTAGCGTGCGCTGGCACACGTCACACTGATAAGGGTGGCCGCCGCGTGGCGCCGCGTGCGCCTCCTCGGCGCCCGGCTTCTTGGCCGCGGGCGGCGGGGTCGACGCGCGTGGCGAGCCGCCGCCGGCGCCGACGGCGTCCACGTCGTCCGGGTCGCTCTCCGTCTCCTGCGGCGCATGCGCACTCGCCCCGCTGCGCCGCCCGGCGGCCGGCGTGGCGTCCGCCCGGCACGGGTGGGACGCCAGCAGACAGCGCTGGTGGAACGTGTCCCCGCAGGCGGCGCAGGCAAACTCCCCGCCCGGCGAGTGGGCCGCGCAGTGCGCCACCAGGGCGCGCCACGAGCGCGGCCGCGCGCCGCAGCAGTCGCACGTGAATGGCGCCACCGGCGCCACCGGCGGCCGGTCCGGCGCCTCGTCCTCGGCCGCGTGCGCCGCCTCGTGGTGGCGCAGCAGCCAGCGGAAGGCGAAACGCGTCGCCGCACTGGCCGCAAAATACAGGCTTGCGGCGCGAGTGCTGGCGCGCGTGCGCCACCAGCGCGTCAAGATCGGGGCACAGCGTGTCGCACTCCTCGCACGCGAAGCGCCCGGCAGCGGCGCCGCCCTCGCCCGGCGTCGCCGGTTCCGGCGCGGCCGCCGGATCCGCGGCGTCGGCGCCGGCGGAGGGCGGCGGCGCGGCCGCCCCGTCTCCGGCGGCGGGGTGCGCCACGCGCCGGCGCCGGCTGCGCCGCGGACCGGTCGCGCCCACCGCCGGCGGCGCGCGCCGCTCGGCCGGCCGGTGGGTTCGGATGTGGCTGCGCAGGCCGGAGACGGCGGCGAAGCGCGCCTCGCAGACGGCACACTGGTACGGCAGCTCCAGCGCGCCGCCGGCCGTTCGCCGCCGTCGTCCGTCCATCTGCTCGGCACGGTCGGGCCCGGGCGTCAAGGCGGGGTCGGGCGTTGGCTGCATCGCCGGAGTGTCCACAGTCAGATGGGCCGGCTGTTGTCCAGCCAGCTGGGGCGGTGCCATCAATGGCGTCAGCTGAGTGGCAGGGGCCTCTGGCGATGGCTGGGCATCCTTGGTCTCCGACATTATCTCATCAGTGGGATCTTCCAACGTTAATGGACTGGAGGCAGCAACAGATCCCAGCTGACCTGCAGAAGCCTCCAATAACAGCACACAATTTTGATCATCAGCCAAGACTTCTGACTGGGATGACTCCACCATCTGAGATTCTAGTACCTTGCTAACATCTGAGGCATCGGTCACAGTTGGCTGGGCCACATGGTTCTCAGAAGTCATCTCATCCAGAGCACTCGGACGTCCAAGCTGGCCAGAACCCAGACCATGCTTTCGACTGTGGCGGCGCAGGTCACCGGGCAGGCTGAATGTCCGACTGCAGGTGGGGCAGTGCAGGGTGCCCTGGTGTGCCCGCTTGTGGGCAGCCAGTGCCAGGCGGTCAGGGAACCCAGCCTGGCACTGGTCACATGCAAATGGTGCATCTGAGAGAAGCTGACTGGGCAGAGGTTCTTCAGGACCTGCAGGGACAGAGCCAGAACGAGACACATCAGAGCATGAAACGTTATGATGGAAAGCATCAAAGAAGGGATGCCCACATAATCTACCATTTTGAGAGCACACTTATCATTATAACAGGCATCATTTACCATTTTAGAGCACATGTAGCATTCTGACTAACAGCATTAAGATTGTGTAGTGAAATGTCTGGTCGATAGGCTAAAATGGTTTCAGGGTTCATTACGAAGTGCCTGCCCATGATTTGACAACGCTTGCACATGGGAATGGGGCAATTCATAACGTGACTGGCCTACAGAAGACCAGATGTGCCACAAGGTTTTTAAAAGGTGGAGAAGTACAGGATAGACCAATCTGCCTGCCCCCCCCCCAAAAAAGTGGCTCCAAACCCAACCAGTCCCAGCACCAATTACATACTTATGGTGTTTGCAATTGGATGGCACAGGCATCACGGATGTCACCTTTATGAGGTTGGGCGTGCAAGTTACATTAGTTTCCCCCCAAAAATGGTCTTTGTCCCTAAGTTTACCCACAGAATGCATGTTCTTCAGACCTCCTAATGCAGTCATTTTCAGTCCCACATATCCCAGTTCAAGCACTAACCACTCCCATCCTAATTTGTTGCCCAATTGCTAGAAATGTGGTTACCCCTATGCCATCCACTGCAAATTGTCTTTCCAACATCAGCGGACAGCTACATGCAAATGCACTTACCAGCAACAGGAAGCGTATTTCCCTCGTTCGAAAAGCTCATGGCATTCGCCACAAAGATAAAAGGGGAGAATCTATGCTGACCCTCTCCTATGTTACTTTATTTCTAAAATTGTGCATCGAACAGAACTCAGTTGATTGCCTCAAAAACCACGTCCTTGGTCCGCGTGGAATCCGTTGACAATTGTTGCCACTGGGGTTCCACGACCCACGCGACTCGGACGTCTCCTGCTTCTAGCCCTGGTAGGAAGGATGGACAATACGGCGATGGCGATATCGGGGGGGGGGGGGGGGGGCTCGCCGTTTGACACAGATGCGCCATAACAGAACTGTTATAGAGATGAAGAAAAAAAACAAATGTGGAACGAGTACCTCGGCAAGCACGCAAAGTTACCAAAAGTTGTCATTATTTTCGAACAAATTATCATAAAACAAAACGAAATAAGATGTTAAACGTTAAAAATGTATCTAGCTTGTCCTTTTTAGTCAAAAAGTGGGATGAATGATTGGGGTGCGATCGTGACGTAATTCGTTAGTCAGCTGATTAACCTTTGGCGTCAAGTTCAAATTTGAGGCTGATGGAGGCGGGATGGTTGTTTATGTGTAATAAGCACTCATGTGGTTTATCGATTGTGGCAACGTTCAGGGGATGGGTTCCGCGTGTTCCTAAAAAGCAGAGTATTTTTTTTGTGCTGGCGAGGTGGGTCGTAGGATAGGTGAGGTTTTTCGTTTTTGCTTGCATTTCTTTGAGGTACTCAGTGGCGTGAGAAATTGATTTTGGTGCTGGGGTACTAAGAGCCTTGTAAAGTGAGATGCAAGTGCCGGCCATGACCTATTAATTGAATGAACAGTAGTTCTTTTTGGCTGCCCTTTTCCATTGATGATCAACACACAGGCTGTTTTGCCATGCAACAAACAAAAGGGTATTGTTATGCCACTTGGGATATCTGTGTAATGTCAGCCAAAATGAAGCTTGTTTGAGAGATTTAAGCTGCTTCTGAGATTGATCTCAGCTTTTAACATATTTGTGTGTTGTAGGTAGTCTGGTGAAACTCCTGCACTGAGCCATGGAGCCAGATCTAACAAGCCAGGCTAAGAATCGCCGCCGCTCCTCAGTGAGTTTGTAAATGGTTGTGTCCACAACTGCACGGGAATGTCTGTAAAGGACTGCCAGCCTGGCATGCAATGTCATGGTCACAATAGACTGCCCTTTGTGGGTTTGAGTCTGACACTCCAGCCACCCTATATGGACCCAAATGCAGATACTTGCCATGAATTCATATGTTGGAATGGGTGCCATGGTATGGTAGTTGGTGTGCCCTAAAGCCCAAATTGTCATTGTCATTAAATGTGTTATTGATATTGTGTGTCACTGAGCTGCCATGCTTAGCTGACAGTTAAGCACTGATGTACTATAAAGGGTATATCCTGTTAAGTTCACTGATGAAGCCTGACTTGTGCCATACTGTAGTGGATGGTTATTTATTTGTTGACATCACATTTTGTGATGAGTGTTTCAGTACCTAGCCTGCTAATTGACATAACAAGTGCAGAAAATACCTCATTTATGCTTGGATGTGCAAACTAGATCTCAACTGGTCATCTCCAGTACCCAAACATGTATCATTGTTTTTCACCTGTTTTTTTTACTATTTGTCCCTCCTTTGGCTTAGCTGGTTAGAGCACCTGTCTTGCTTTTACTCACCTGGGCCTGATGGGGTTTCAGTTCCTTTAAGCCAGGTGGAATCCAGAGGGAGGGGGAGGCAAATGGGGTGATTGCCATCCTCCCATGGGACCAAGAAGGCTGCAATGGGGCCACAAATTGGCCAAAAAGATTTAGGTTTTAACTCCAAATATGCAAAATTGGCTGACTTGGGCATCCAGGTGATCATTAAGTTTGTTCCTACCAATCCTACCAAAATACTAGTTCCTACCAATCAGCCAGGCCATGTACAAGTGAAGATGAGGGCCCTGCAAGCAGGCAACATTAATCCTGGGCTGATTGGTGGGATCATGTTGGAAAAGTTTTAGAACCTGTTAGAGCATGTGTTGAACACTGTCGAGGTGCCCTATGCTGTTTCCAGACCCTATATGTTTGCAATGTGGGGCAAAACATTCCCCCATTGGCCTGAGGTTCGTCCCATCTGCCCAGAGGGTCATACACTATTACCGGCAGCCCTGTCTGAACCTGCCTGCTGAGGCACTCACCATCCATCAATGGCCTCAGATGGGTCTCGAGCTATTCATTTATGCTCAGATGGTCCTTGTTCTTACAGGTGGCCATGTAATGTTGGCTTGCCAGGTATTCCCAGTTGTTTAGTGGTCTTTTACATGGGTCTTTGATTCTTCCATTTGTTGAGTGCCCTGCGCTGCTGTTGACATGCGCCCGGGTAGCTGAATGTCCCTTGCTTGGGTCGGGGGTCAATTTGACCCCCTGAGATCTAAAAAATTAAGAGATTCACGGACACCAAGTACACAGGGTGGGTTGGCCCACATTTGAACTCACTTGTGTCGAAATTTTAGGTTCCTAGGTTATGATCTGGTCAAATATGGTCAAACTAGGTTTAACTCCAGGTTGGTGGCCAACGTGCTCCATGACTTCTTCATGCAACCGCCTTGAACCTAGATACCTACTGTAAGCAAAAGGTTACTGGTGTTAATTTAAGGTCAGTGACCTTTTTACCTTAACAAGGTCATGGTGACTAAATCCTACCAGTTCTTTTGATTTTTGCATTTTGATAAGTTGTGGATTGCGCTAGGCGGTATGTTCCCTAAAATGAAATGTTGATCGGCCATTTTAGGTCAGTGACCTACCCTGAACTTTGAGAAGCTCACTGAAGATGTCTATTGCGGCTTCTGCAATTGATAAATTTGAAATGAGCATCAGAGACTACCCCATTCAGTAAGCTCTTCAATAAAAACGCAGATTGGTTTAGACCTCGGTGTGACCGTGATAACTCTCCTCAGGTCAAGAGAGTTTCTTGTAATCCTAAAAGCAATCATCTTATTGCCTAAGAACTCTCAGAGATGTATGGCTTCGTAATTTTGACACAAGGTCAGGTGACGTCAGAATAGTACGGGTCTCGCCAACTAATGGGGCATTAAACCGGCCACAAAGTTCTCTTAACCTGGACATCTCCGAACGGGTGACGGTGCCAGGACTCCCAGCAAGGGCTTCTTAGTGAGCTCCGATACCCAGAAACCCATACGTGCCAGTTGTCGGGGCTGATCTTTTGAAAAAATCCTAGCATGATGGATTAGCGTCGCCTCCCACGCGCCATTGTGCGAGGCTCGTGCAATCGAGCCGTCTCGCTGCCCCAGATTCTGAAGATGCCGGTGCCGTGCTCGCCGTCGGAGGAGCTGACCGAGAGGACGGCGACGGTGACGAGCAGCCGCCGCCTGTCGCGGCGCGTCAGCTTCGCCGACCGCTTCCACGTGCAGTGAGTGCAGGGGTGGGAGCGACGCGGTCACGGCGGTGCGTTTTTGCATGGCATTGCATCGCGTTGCAAGCGAGGAATCTGACCGATTGAGTACGAACTCGAGAAAACTGACCAGCCAGGCCGAACGCACACGCTTGGCGCACGTGTACATATGTCATGGCATGGCTTGTCATTTCCGGTGTCAGGCCGTGACCTATGGCATGACATGACATGCCTGTTGTCGTGGCAAGGCCTTTATATTAATTTGTTCGATGTCATGACGTGTTCCATGCCATAAAATAG